CCATATCGAAGTGCTCTACGACAGGGGCGTCAAATTCGGACTGGCAGGGGGGCGCTTCGAGAGCGTTATGGTCTCAGGTAGGCCATTTCCTTTCTCTCTCCCAGCCTTGAGTCGCTCTTTTTGAAGAGTAACACATCTTTCCATTTGCGTGAAGTTGTATCGCGGTATTATGACTGATTTCTCCTTTCCCCCTCGCTTCCTATTTGCCTTTCCCCCCCTTTCCCCAGCCCCACCTATGGCAGCCTGGAAGTACAACCACACGCCTGAAGAAGGCAGCGAGGAGGCTCGGCTTCTAGCAATCCTCAAAACTCCTCGAGATTGGGTTTGATGTGCGGGTCAGGATGGGGAGTGGGGATAGGGAGGAGAGGGAGGCAGATAGGGACATGTCGTGTCTGGCGGGCGTGAGTGAGTGAGTGAGTAAAGTGAGTGAACTCTGTTGCCGAATCGAAAGGGAAGGACAGTTGTCGGTAGCCCTGCTCTACCTGTCAATAACTTGAGGATTTGTCCTCGTTAAGTACCTACCTTCAAAAGAAATGTAACGGCTGGGGTCAAACTCGACCAAAAATCGAGCAATCGGCGATACAAAACGCGTCATTTTCGTGCTTCTTGCTACCCTCTAAGCTTCATTTTACCATTTCTACAGCCTCGAACTCCTTTAAAAGCCTTTCCTTCACACCCGTTTATCCCTCGCTGCGAGCTTTTTCGTCCCTGTTTCCCTTTTCATTTCGTATCTTTCCACCATTTCGAAGGCAACAACCCCATGCGTCAGCCCCTGTACACTTGAGTGCTAACCGTTCTAACGCTAATTAAAAACCTCCCCCTTCCCCTTGAAAGCTCTAAATCTCCCATCAACTTGCGAGTACCCCGCACTCCTCTCTGACTACTCCCGCCGCTTCCTTTCTTCCTCCCTCCTTCCCACAGTCCTCGGTCGGAGCAAGCGAAAGGGACCAGCACCACCAGGCCTGCCTAAGCCGTCGCCGCTGCGTATGAAGGGAAAAATCATCATGAAATCATTACAAAACTTCACGCAACTATGATCCAACGAAAAAAGAAATGTGCCGTCTTTTCCTCCCTTCCTCATGTTCCCCGTCACCTTTCCCTCCCCTCATCATCTCTCCCTCTTTCCCTACCTGGTAGCCTCTCCAAGCATCTCCCAGCGCCTGTGCCGCAAACAGCCGAATCCGCCCACCCAGCCGGTCCAAGCTCTCTTGCATTTCCTCTTTTCGCCCGTGCATTCCTACTTCCTCATCCTCCCCTTCCTTTCCGTCCCGGCTTCCGTTGTCGGTGACGCCGGAGGAGAGCGTTCCGTGGGGAGAAGGGAGGGCCGGAGGGAGAGGGGAAGGGAGGGAGGAGGCGAAGGACGCGAAGCGGCGATCGACCTCGCAGGTGATGCGGCGGGCTTGAAGGAGGGAGTTCTCCAAGTCGCAGACCTGGGGTTGGAAAGGAGCCAAGAGGGAGAGACGAGATGAAGGAGACGCCGGAAGGGCTCAGAGAAGGAAGGGACAGCAGGTGGCGGAAAGTGGATTCATTGTCACTTCACCTGTGACGCGGATGCATGCATTGCCTCTTTCTCCCTCCCTCCCTCCCTCCCACTTTCCCCCCTTTCCCTGCCTCCCGCCTGTACCCGCTCTGCTTGACACA